TATATTTTTTGGAGTGCTTATTTGTTTCTTCATAATATATCTTGAATCCCCTTTAAATGGTAGGCATGGGCACTGATAAGCCTTAAAATAGATGTTAAAGACAAAGGAAAATTATAAATGGTATCTGTTTTCAAAGATGTTACCTGCTTAGACAGGCTCAGGGGCTGAGGTTTGATCCCTGGCATGTAGTGTGGGCCCCGCTCCTGGTGTGTTCTGAGGCGATGAATGAGACTGGGCGTGGTGGCACGCACCTGTAATCCCAGTGCTTGGGAGGCTGAAAACAGGAGGATCACTATGAGTGTGATTTGTGTAGTGAGACCCTGTAGACCTTGGAGTAAAATACATTGAGAAAAAGACATTAAACTAATAGGGGTGGTAGGCAAGATGTTATGAAGACAAAAACCTGTGTTAAGCTAGGACTTGGAGGATAGTACAATAGAATACAGAACAGAATGTGTCATCCCTTAGTCGCAGGTGGACCTCAAAGACTGGTTAAGAAGAATATTTGAATTCCATTCTAGGAAGCCATCAGGTATTGCTTTAGGTAAAGTGATGCATGTTAGAATTGGGATGAACAGAAGGGTATTCCAGGTTGGACATATAGCGTGTATAAGGCGGGCAAATGAAAATTTGCTTTGCATAGCTGGCAAATTCTTAATAGCTCCATGTGGCAGGAGCTGTGGACAGGAAGTGGATGCAGGATGAGACATGTCTGGAGAGAAGACGAAGTCCAGATTTTATATTGTGCTAAGAATAACACATGCATATACTTTCCAGTAAGAAAGATTTTTTTGGGGGGAGTGTGCTGGCTCAGGCTGCCTTAAGGGCAGGTCTGGTAAGGCAGGTAGAGCTGGAGATCAAACCGTGGTATCCTGCACCTGACTGCAGTTGCATGAGCAGGTGCTTAAACAACTGAGCTAACTGGCAGGCCCCCACTTTCCAATAAGAAATAAGGACATAGGGTCAGCCAAATAGCTCAGTGGACTAACGTGCCTGCTTAGGCAAAATGCAGTGGCTGGGGTTCAATCCCCAGCTTGCTGTGCCAGCCCCAACCCCAGAGCACACTGAGACAGTGATTGAGACTAGGCCTGGTTGTGTGTACCTGTAATCCCAGTGCTTGGGAGGCTAAAAACAGGAGAATCACTGCAAGTCCAACCTACATAGTGAGACCCTGTAGACCCTATAGACTCTGTGGACTCTGTACTAAATACATTAAAAAAAAAGAAAAGAAAAGAAACAAGGACATGTCTAAGAGCTTTAGTACTTTATGTAAAGTTTAAAAGGTATAAATTCATATTGTAGCCTGTGGGCTAAATCTGACTCACCACCTGCTCTTACAAATAAAGTTTTATCATAGCACAGCTGGGCCCTTAGTCACTTATTGCCAGTGGCTTCTTTGGCAATATGGTTAGCGGAGTTGACTTGTTTTGATACAAATGATGTGGCATTCAAAGACTAAATAACCATTTGGTCTTTTGCAGAATAAGTTTGCTGTTTCTTCCTTATTTTATAAACATATCTCTGGCAGCAGCCGAGAGGATTACATGGAGGGTTTTGAATGGGGTTAATTTTGAGGAGGCCAGTTGGATGCTGCCTCCAAGACTTCAGGGCCAGAGACATTGGAACCGAAGTGGTGGCAGGGACTCTCCAGAAGAGGACTGGGATATAAGGTGCAAAGAATGTGGATACATGCAAAGCTTCTAGAAAGGCAAAATCCAAAGTGGTTGGGTCATGATCCACAAGCCTTGAATGAACAGTTGGTGATGTAGTTCTGGTTTGGACATGTGGCGTTTAGTTTGGGGAAGTCTGAAAATGATATCATCAACTATGTTATTTTGATGGGCGACCAGCCCTTTGGGGCACCCCTTTCTGTCCCTCTCTTGGACAGAAGCTTTCTTTCCCTCAATAAATATTCTGCTCTTAAAAAAAAAACTTTGTTATTTTGAGGTCAAAATTCTACTGCAATTGACAATAATGTAAAGTTGGCTCTCCTTAGTGTTTCCTTATAAGTATCGCTATCTATATCTATGACTATGTATCTATATCTATATCTATATCCATATCATCTATATCTATATATCTATATCTCTATTTGGTTCAACCAATGGTTGTGATTGGTACACTTCTTTTATTAATTACTTGCGTGCTTTTAGCATCCTTCATCATTGACCCCACCTCAGTACTGCAAAAATCAATATACATGTGCACATTCAGAGGAGAATGGGCAGTGTTTCCTCTGGTTGGGGTTTAGCTTCCTTCCAGGTATCATGCACACTGAATTGCCACCATCCCAACTCAACTATTTTCAACTGCTGTGTTGCAGAACACTCAGGCTTAGCTGTTGAGATAATCATTCTGCTCCACCTTCAACTACCTGTCCAGTGCAGTGATTTTGAAAGGGTACAACTCCAGGCATGACTGCACTTTCAGGTTCTAGCCCTTTTCTTTCAGCTGTTTGCCTTCCAGTGTGCCCAGTACATCCACAGATGGCAGCCTATACTCTTACTTGTCCCAGTTCCCTGTAGTCCCTGCTTTGTTGCTGGATGGATCTTCACAGAGACAGTCCCACCTCCTGCAGTGCAAGCACTTGTACCTCCTGCATTTCCCCCCTTGCAGTGTGGTTTCTACCTTTCTTGCCTTCTGTTTGAGTTGTTGTAGTAGCTTTGGCCATAATTTTTGGATCCTCATCCTCTCCTGTCCACTCTGCTCATCCATCTTGACCTATTAAGTTTCACCAAAAAAACCTCAAACTTAAAAATATTACTACTTTGATGTCCAAACATCTTCAAAGGCTTCTACCATCCCTCAAGGACCCTCTGTCCCCAAATTATTGAGGACCTACTTTGTGAAGCTCTTTCCATAATTTTAAGAGTCCCTAAACCCAGTCATCTGGTCTCCAAAATCATTCCTGGAGGCTCAGGTCAAGCATCACAACCTCCACAAAGCTGTTCTCAGCCCTTTCTGAAGACGGGAAAAGTCCCCTCTCTCTTCCCAGGAGCCTGATCTAGGCTTTCCCATGTGCTCCAACAGGTCATTCTGCTCATTTAATCATATAAATTCCTTAAGGGCAGGCAAGTTCTGTTAATCATCTTAGTCTTTTACATAACTCCTATCAGAGTGTTTATGTAGTGGGTGTTGAATATGTATTTTTAAGCAGTTAATAGAATTACATATTAAAAAGTCATAAGAAAGATAGGTATGAAAAATGGAACTGACTGATGACAATTAAGGAATATTAGGAAATACGGCAAATCAGCTCTTATGCAGATCTGGAGCTCCTAGGTAGATGAACTTTATTAAAGATAGGAAAGACTCAGCCATTTCCACCAAAAAATGTGCAAAGGCCCCAGGCCCCTCTGGAACTCCTCTCAGGCTCTGCTGTTTCTCCACAGGCTTCATTGATTTCATCGTGGAACCCACCTTCACTGTGCTCACAGATATGACAGAGAAGATCGTGAGCCCATTAATCGAGGAAACCTCCCAAGCGGGTGGCACAGCACAGAGGCGATCTAGGTCAGTACAGGGTATGGGGGGCTGAGGCCCAACCTACTTATGAGGCTAGTGATGGGATTTCATAACCAAGCCTGTCCCCTTTCCTTCCCACATGGGCCCTCTCTGCCTCTTTCCTTTCTTCAGAGGAATTGAACTTGTACGATATGTCCCCTCCAGGTGGCCCTGTAAGGGGTGGCCAAGTCTCAATATATGACCAGCAGGTCTCTGTTTTCCCTCCTGCCCCCAGCTTTTACCAGCAGCAGAAGCAATTGCTACACCTTCACCCACTGTTCCCAAACAGCCCAAAAAGACACTAACACTGATTAGAAGTATTTTTGAAGTTGTTATTCTCCTATATTTTGTCATAGTTACCGAAAGCTGATTAATACTTTTCTCATCTCCCACCAGTGGTTTTCTGAGTGTTTGTTCTTTGTGTCTTTTTAAAAAAATTATTAGTACGTATTTTCAGTACATAATAATTACATTTATTGTGTGGAGTTCGTGCACATGATATATCTTGATTACAAGAAATAAAACAAACTTTAATTTCTAAATTTAGGAAGACAATAAAGTAAAGAAATAAAACCCAGAATGTTTTCAGTCACCTTAATTTCCTCATCTGTGAAAATGTGTATTATAATTTTTATAGTTGGCTGGAAAGATCAAATGAGTTCTGTGTGTGTGTGTGTGTGTGTGTGTGTGTGTGTACAGGTTCTAGTGCAGAGGAAGTGCTAGCAACAATCATGCCTCTAGTTAGCGTCTATTAACAGTGCCACGCCTACTGCTACAGCTACTGATATTACTACCATTCCTATTAATACCCCCACCTGCTGTCACCATTACTCTACCCCCCATTGCTGTGATTAGTGTCATTGCTACTGCTATGATGATGCGTCTCCTTCTCTGTGCCAAACGTAAGCTTCATCATAAAGGAGAGAGAAAATTAAATGAACATAAAAAGAAAAGAACAGAGAAAAAGTAAATGGAGAGTGGAAGCTAGAGGAAGGTTAAGACAGTGGGATCCCGCAATGCTTGGAAAGGATGAACCCCTGTTGAACTCGCTAACAAAGAGGAGAGAGGGCCTTGGCCCAGGCTTCGTAGTCCTTTGGCTGGGGCTCAGCAAGCAAGGGCTGCAATTCTCTGCTTACACATTCAGCCGCTGTGGTTATTTAGTAGTTGATATTCAAGCCAATGGGTGCCTTCGGGCATGAGGTACTTTGTTAGAATGATGGTTCTTTATGACTTTGCAAAGTCACTTATGTTTATAGCTTATGGCTCTATTCATTTAAAGTAAGGTCATTTGTGTGACGAGGTGCAAAATTGCTAAGCTTTCTGTACCTCTTCAGCGTCTCCAAGCAACATAAGAATATTATCTTATCGCTTCTCCTTTAATTAGGGAGTCAGGGTCACAGAGGATCCTGAGGCCAGAAGAGGAGAGCTGAAGAGAAAAAAGAGCAGATTGAAAAAGTGGTCAGTGGTGAAGCATGTGGGTGCATTGGGCAACAGGTAGAAGTCCAAGTTCAGATTAATTTGTTTCTGTGAATAGAGAAAGTTCATGTCAGGGAATTTTAATTATTAGGGAAAAAAAAGAAAAGACCAACCAACAGACAATAAAATGAGAAATACTGAAGATCAGAGAGTATAATGTTGATATTTTTCCTACTGGAAATTTTGAATACCTACAAAAATACAACAATTACAAATGTCATGACCTGGTAGTTTTATGACAGTGACTCATGAATACTAATGGCTCTCTTCTTGAGCATGCTCAGTGCATAGTTTTAAAAACTAATGCTCCTCTTTTTTTTATTTTAGTTTGAACAATATCAGCTCATCAGATGCAAAGAGATCGGGTGTCAAGAGCTCTGGATCAGAAGGAAGTGCCCCCATCAATAACTCTGTCATCCCTGTTGACTGCAAGGGCTTTAAAGCCACTTGGACAGAAGTGGTGCACATCAATCGGGAGAGATGGAGAGCCAAGGTGCCCAAAGGTAGCATGCCTTGGGGGACAGTCCTCCAGGACACCTGTCCAAACCAACATAGCTGTCACTCCTAGAGTAAAGAGTTGCTTTCCCTCATTGACAGTTGTTGCAAATAAAGCCCAATTGTCCAGGCTACAAAAATTCACCAAATATTATAATCTTTAAACTTTTGGGCTTCATTATGTCTAACACTGAATACACAGGAAAGAGGCAGACCTTCCGCCCTCCTGGCATCGTCGCCTTTGTGAGATGTGACTCAGCTCCTTTTCCCACTATGAAGCTTGTAGAGGTGATGAATATTACTATTTTGGGGGTTATAGACCATCTGGCATTCTCACTTCATTCCATGTCATACAACTGTGAAGATTTTATTTCTTCTTTTACCTTAGTAAAGCCCACTAACAGCCACCTAGCTATTATGCTGAGATGTAAGAGCTTCAGTTTTCCTACTTACATTTTTATCTTTGTTCTCACCATTCACTCATTGCTGTGAATACAGAACCACTTTTCTGAGATGACATAACTTACAAGTAAACAAATTCTCTGAAGCTAATATTATCCAAATTTAAACCAGAAAAGTTATGGCTTGTGGTATGATGCATAAAACAGATACAAATCCTGGTGGTTTTTCAGAATTTTAATTTTTTTAAATTCATCTGTCCACACTTGCATTTTGGTTACTGGGCACATAATTTATGATCAGCACATGTTCTGTAAGAAGCATTTTCTAGGGAGGAGGCTCTGTGTATAAGGTAATGACACAGCTTGAAATGAGGGTCGTACAGATTTAAAGCCTGACTCCAGGGAAGGACACAGAAATGGGTATTCGTGAAGCTCAGTGAAAGGCCTGGTCCCACGTGTTCTGCAGTCAGTTTTTGCTGCCATGAATAGTGTGTCTTCTATTTGCTGGGCTCTCTGTCTAGGGCACAGGCACAGGAGCATAGATGAGTAGCAGGCATCCCCCTCCTCAGAGTTCATTGTTGTGACAGAGGAGGAGGAAGCACTTCATTAGAGACTTTCATGCTGAGGAAACATAGTTTAGTAAAGGCTTTACACTTATCAGCAGCACCCACCAGCCCCGAGCCCTTGGCCTTTGGCACAGTCAAGCACGACTTCATTTCCAAGCTCAGCACCTGCATTGTATACTCCCAGTGTAACAAACTTGTAAGAAGAAGAGCAGAGGTGGAACACGGTGGCACACCCCTATAATCTCAGCTGACTGTGAGTTTGATGCTAGCCTGGTCTATGTAGGAAGGCCTCCTCTCAAAACAAAGAGTGGAATGGCGAATATCTCAATCCATTTTACAGTGCTATGACAAAATACCTGGTGTTGGGTAATTATAAAGACTGGATCATTATATAGAATAAAAGTGTATTTGGCTCACAGTTCTGGAGGCTGGGAAGTCTAAGAACACATTGTAAGCATCTGGTGAGGGCCTTTTTATTGCATGGTGGAAGGCACCACAGGGGAAACGAGCAAGTGTGTTTGCTTCTTAGAAAGCCACTAATGTGTTGGAGAAAGTTCCACCCTCTAGTGAGCATAATTTTGGGGGTTACATTTCCAAACGTGAA